GATTTGGGTAAGGTAGGTCCGGGTTCGAATCTCAGTAACATCCATAATATTTTTTTAATTTCTTTACCTTAGGGAACTAATGAATTGCTCCAAATTTTCTATGTCTTGAGTAAGCCAGTATGATTAGATCGAGGTATATGTAAAGATCCAAACACATGCGTTTGGATATCTGAGGAAACTCCTAGGACTTGGATATCCAAATCCTAGGAGTTGGATCTCATATTTGCATTCGGTGTTGGAACAAGTTATCCAAATGCGGCATGCGTACACGTGACCCTAAAGAGATCGAACGATTGGACAGGCACGTCATGAATTAATAATGACGGTTTGAGAATATATTGTTGGATGACTGCATGATGCATTGTGCATCCTTTGTAGAAGATCTACAATAAAAATGCTGTTTTTGTTGTGCACATTAATTTATCGACAGTAGAAGTACAAATGTWCTGAAAATTGTTATTCCATCTCACTTCTAGAATTTTTTAGGTAAAAACTTAGAAGTCTCGAATGAAAAATACATGCTAACGAGAAATCCTTTGTTGAAGTTCCTCCAAAATGGCCTCTCTGACGTATAGTGAAAACGAAGAATTAATCAGRACGTTGTCACAGATGACATGATTTTCAATCAGAGCTCTTTAAAGGCGTGAAATTTTCATTCTTTTCATTCTACAAATTAATTTAGATGACATAAAATAGTACACAACAAGGATAGTAAGCTATAATMGAAATTAACATTCACTACATCTAAGCAGTCTGCTAGAATAATATTAGTGTTGTAATACCAAGTTCCTACACTTGAAGGSCCACATTCAACATCGTTGTTTCAAAAAGTCTGTTATTGAATTAAAGTTGATTTCGGATTCGCTCCCACTATAAAAGATGTCGATTTTCATAGGTGAGAAAATCGCGCAAAGGTTCTCAGGTGCACGCATGGGCTTTCAACTCTCTTGGTTTTCACATATRACGTCATCTATTTTATCAAATTAAAATGATAATTCTCGAAATGAGAGCTTATTAACCATCACAAAAACATTCACATGAGTTTTCACAGCATCGCTTATAATTTGCAGTCGAAATGGTAGAAGTTGAATGTGGGAAATCGAAGTGTCACGCAGCAGCACTTATGTCTTTTGAATGTAATTTCAAACAAAAGACAGCAATTTGAATTGAAATGTTCACAATAGATGAAACGAACATTAATACAAGTGAATTTAGAATTCAAGTGAATTCTAAAGGTTTTGATGATATATGAAGACATTTGAAGATTTCGAGTTCGAGTTACTGTCCTTCATGTTTGTGTACTGAAGGTGTAAACGATCAAGGCATCCAGTAACTTCAGTAATTAAAAAAACAAGTAGTACTCTAATTCTTTCAAATTTGACTAGAACATGCACTTTTAAATGCTTTATAAGACCATATATTTAAGGGTATCGAGATATACTATTGATTTCTGATTTCACGCTGAATTACTTTTAACCATTCTATTAAGCTCCGTTTACACGAGCAATTTTTCCTTGACAAGGAAAAATTGCTCATGTAAATGGGTAAAATGGGCAATTTTTCCTTATCAAGGAAAAGCCAGCATGTTCGCTTTTAGTTGACAAGGAAAAATTTGCTCGTGTAAATGGACCGAAGGAAAATGTGGCAAGGAAAAATTGTCAAGGAAAACTTGTGACCATTCAAACGGGCAATTTTTCCTTGTCAAGGAATACTTGTTCTTCGTTTACACTAGCAAAGAAACATTGTCAAGGAAAAATTGTCGAGGAAAACGTATTGACGATTTACACGGGCAATTTTTTCCTTGTCAAGAAACTTGTCAAGGAAAAATTGCTCGTGTAAACGGCGCTTTAGTCACGGTGAAATGCGCTATGTGAGGCCCTCGCTATACGCCGAACTTCACATGAGACGAATACAATTCCTTTTTTAGTCGACTTAAATGATTAAATCACGGGCTTTAGGAGACTCCTTGTTTCGAGTCGTGAGAAATTCTTGTTCATGGAAAAAAGAACACCCTATTTACTTACTTGAGTCTTTAATTGCTAGTCAAATAAGCTTGTGATGAATAAACATGAATTTATGGTCTGCTGAGTCCATTTCTTTCCATATTTATAGTAACAGTTACGACTAAGTTCCTCGCGCCATTTTGAATTATACACTGGTATTCAC